ATAGTAAAATAGCCTGCCCAGCGTTGGTTCAAGTGATATCGTGACGTAGTTCTTCCTGTTGCAGTACTGTGTCATTAATACGTGTGCTKTACCATTGTCACTGTTAATTTATTTATTCATTTTATTTTTTAAACACTTAAAAGGCACATGTACGTCATCGTTGAATTTAAAACGTTAGATTGAATTTTATTTACGGAAAAATTTTCTTTTAATTCAGGAACTATCAAGAAGATTTCTGATGAACATGTACTATCAATCGCTTGTTTTCTAATTTCCGGAATTCGTCCTATAAAAAYACCTGCATGTTAAAGACACAGTTTACTGCTGATAAAGAAGACTATATACCCTTTATTCTTTAATTTTACTACTTTGCAAATCAAGTGCTTTCCTGACATGAGTCGGTASTCAAAATCAGYACKCCATTACCAAATGTTACACATTTTCATTTTTTCATAATAGTGCACCATATCTTTTTCTTCACTTTAAAGCAGAAGTACTTAAACTTCTGTTTAAAGTCGTTTCACTTTTCAACTAATGTTTCAGGAATAAGGCAATTAAGCTAATTACTGTTTGTATAACTATTTTGTCTATTATATTCAGAAAATAGAAAATAACAATTGTTTACTGGTAGAATTAGTAGGGTGTACAGCTGAAAAAAATCGCAAAAACATCCAAAATAATAGTATTTAGCCATATAAAAACCGGAATTGGGTCTTGATAGTCGTGCACGTTAATTGTGAGGTTTCTCTTTCTCTTACTCAACCCACATAGCTTACTTCGCTAGTGCTGAAAAAAAGGATGTCGTCTGCTAAATATGATAAACAGGACCACAATACTTGGCGGTGTTCAGCTTTAGTACTTGAATACAGGTGGATCTATTTAAACCGCTTTTAATTAAACAAATACTATAGTATATRATTACATATCACTTACTTGTAATGGCCAGAATAACAATATTAACTTGCTGAATTTTCRGGAATTTAGAATGTCGATAACAAGTTTAAATGTCTTATTATAAATGGTGTCATTTTGTCCATTATCAAATACGAATACTTGSTTCCGACTAAAACCGGAAGTATAATTTATATCTTTTATAGTTAATTTAACAAAAAGCAAGAAATTGTCGCCTACAGATAAGCAATTTTTCTTGAATTCAAGTGAATGGAATCCCAAGATATTCGTCCCTTTTTTTCATTCGTTTTTTTTTCTATTGTTTTCAATTCACTTTCGACACACACGTCGTAAGCATCTTTCACAAACATGAAAAAACAGAACCAGGACTATGAACCGGAGCTGATAATAACAAGATTTTTTAATGATTACAAGTTAGGAAATTCAACTGTGCTCAAGATTTCAAGATCGCCAMTGTTCATTATTACATATTTTTACCCATATATTACATATTTATAAAACCCCTCTGCCACCTTGGTGGGGGAGGGGTGGGGGGTGTCTATCGCTCAGCACCTTTGAAAACGAAACATCGATAAGCTTATTGATCTACATATGTGTTTGACCAAATATAGGCCGCCATTGTGTTTAAACCATCTACCAAATTGATAAGTTCTTGAACTTTGAAACGTATTTTTGGTACTTTATTGGATCATAATATATCCAAAAGCAGGAGTACTTTCCGTACACCTAAAACCACCATGATGTTGCGAACAGCTATTGCCACAAGAAAAAGGATGRGTGGCRCCAAAYCCAATRAAACTCTTGGCATTGCCGCAATCATTTTTGTTGTTGGAAATTATACCAAWACGAACTCGTAACGCCTCACCAGMATTGAACCCTTCCTGGTTACATTTGCTCTGCAGCCTGGCTCCACCAATCAGGGACATCCATGTATCTTTACCAATGCYGGTTGACCGATATTKTCCATCAGCAATGACGTCATAGAGAGACGAAGCCTTATGTGGGATAACAGTCCATTTAAGGACGTCRTTGACTTGCATACMAACACACAGTTTGTCAAAAGGCATCGCCCAGTAACTTGGCAACTTGGTTTGTTGTTTATCAAAACCGGTTTGACCGGCTGTCAAATCGAAAGATTGCTTATTGGACCATAAATGGCTCTCATAAAGAAACTCAACCTAAACAAAAAGGAAAAAAAATTCACGAAGCAAATAGTAAAAACGTCACGATCGATTTTTTAGAGATCCGTCATACCTTTGAGCCGTCCATTTTTATGACCAGCGTCCATCCCCCACCTCCACATATGTCATCAGTTAAATGGCAGTAGATATTTGTAGGCTTGTTTTCAATGGACAGGCTGTAGGCCTTGTTATTACGTTCGCTGAAATATAATGGACATTGATGCTTTGTCATTTCTTTCTAAGAAAGCGCACATCAACATTTTCACCATGGAACGAACTGATTACTTTCGGTTTCAACTAATCCGAGCAAAGGGAAGAGGACCTGGACACGAGGTTTGGTTTAGAACTGGCAATTCCAATCCTGAGCTCACCAGAATATTGCTGGCTAAATGTTCGTTGTATTCACGACTTTCAAAAATGGCGCAATRTGCGCGGTCGCCGACCAGGGCACTGGGGACGAAATACTAAAACGAGATCTCAAAGGGCAGTCTCCGTATAGTAAACTTTGTTTGTGTCTTGCAAGAGTGTTTTGTTATAATTAACACACAAAAACATCATTCAAACTTTTGAATACTACATACATGCAATCATCGTAGTGATTTCTAGATAGAAGGTCTTTGAGGTCTCGTTTCCATGATTCTTCACTAGTCCCCCGATATAGGCGGACGTGAAATGGCGCCATTTTTGAAAGTCGTGTATAGGCTGGAAAGACTCTGGGGAATCCTTCGAATTTGCGACGCTTTTCCGTCAATCAACAATTCATACATTTATTAAATATCACCTTGTTTTGTTATATATTTCTTTACATGAAGTCATCTGCAAAACTAAAAATACAAAAAAAAAAACAAACTATTTTACATGTAGTATCGCAGAGGCGCCATATTGACGATGATTATTTATTAAATAATCGTCGGATAGCTTATGGGAAAAAGGAAAACGCTTTAATCCTAAAACTAGTGAATAGTGTGCTAGTAAAGCAATCAGCACTTACTCGTTTCACAGTTTTTTCCTGTGAATCCCTGTGCGCATGTGCAGTCGTAGCCATTTACTTTATCATTACAAGAACCGCCATTTTGACAAAGATTGTGTAAGCAATCGTCAATATCTTTAAAACAAGAATAATATTAAATTGTAGCAATCCAGTGACAAT